GTTTAATTTCTAATATATATATATATATATATATAACAAATTGAGAGTATATAAAATAAATAAAAAAATATACAAAAAAACCTACCTAAATTATAGAAACATATTGAAGTCGGTAGGTTAAAATAAAAACTACAAAAAAATTGGTTCTAATAAATTCTGAATAAATATATATAAAAAAAAACAAATAAAACTTGTGAATTTTTCAACTCGTTATTATTTTTTAAAAAAAATTGAGTCAAACTATCTAAAACATATTTTTAGGACCCTCTCTCTCTCTCTCTCTCTCTCTCTCTCTCTCTCTCGTGTGTGTGTGTGTATATATATATTAAAAAAATAAAACACTCATTTAAAAATATTAAAATAATATATTGTATAAATTACAATAATATATTTTAAAAAATAAAATATTGACGTTCTAAAATTTTATTCCAAAATTCATATATTAAAAAAATTAAGTTTATTAACAAATAAAATTATATCAAAAAATTATCAGTCATTACAAATTTGTAATAAAATCAAAAAATAAAAATGTTTCAAAATGGTCGTTGTAACCTAAATATATGTTTGTCAATCATGAGCTATACGTACGTGACACACACACACACACATATAAAGCAAAAAAAAAAAAAAAAAAGGTCGAGTCGAGGCTGCCAAGGGCTGGATATATTAAGGGAAAAAAAGGCCATGCTTGGCGACTAACGCTTGGCACATTCGTGCCCAAGAGCCGTGGCACGGGTGCTAGTCAACCCGATAGAAAAAAACAAAAGAATTGGATTTCGATCATTTACTCGTTCAAATATCTCAATTCTTTTAGTTTTATATTGTACTTAGCGATTTAGATTACATAAAACAAATAAAATATATATATAAAAAAAACCACTTAGATCGCATGGAATATATCAAAGTAAATCGATTTAAATAAAAGTTATTATAAATTTGGTTTCGATGAATTCTATATATATATATATCACCAAATAAAACCTCCGAATTTTTTAACTAATTATTAATTTTTTTAAAAAAAACCCAAGCCAAATTATTTTTTAACTAATTATTATTTTAAAAAAATTAAGTCAAATTATTTGATACACACTTTTAGTTCTCTCTTTCTCGTCAAAATTTATATATGCAACAATGACATTTTCATTGAAAAATCATAAAAATAATCAATAGTATAAATTATAATAATATATTTAAAAAAAAAAAAGCAATCATGTTTCAAAAGCCATATATAAAAAAAATCAAATTTATTAACAAATAAAATTGTATAAAATTTAAAAATTAATTCGATGAGAATTTTAATAAGAAACAATCAATTGAAGAAATAAATTTTAAACAATAAAAATAATATATATATATATATTCAAACTAAAATTTTTAAAAACATCATATATATTCTCATATCGTTAAACCGTACGTAAAATAAAAAAATAACAATCTTTTTTTATATTTTTCAAACCTAATTTCATGATAAAAAAATAAAAATAAATTATTTATATAGAAGGGGAACAATTGTCATCTAATATTTAAATAAATCATCTATTAACAACTATTATATTATTATACCAATATATTTAAAGAAATATTTAATAATAATGTAATATTAATTTAATTATACGGTATCATTATCAAATTTATTATATTACTAAAATTATTATCAATTTTTTTTATATATTCAAATTCATAAAATAATATATTAATATATTATTTATATCATAATTTGAAATAATAATAAAATATTATATTGTATAATAAATACAATATTTACAATCAAAATACAGATAAATATTTTATAATAATAATTTGATATTTTTTATAAATATAATGATAATATATTATAATTATTAATTATAAATAATTTTATTATTTAAATAAAATATATTTGTAATAAATAAGGATCTAAATAATATATTTGACCATATAATAATAGTCCTACAAATATAGAAATTGAAGGAAAAAAAGAGAAGCCAAACGTTAAAAAAAAAAAAACACTGCTATTTTTTGTCAAATATAATGATAATATATTATAATTATTAACTATAAAATTTTTTATTATTTTTAAAAAATAAGTTTTTAATAAATAAGGACTTAAATAATATATTTGACCATATAATAATAGTCCTACACATATAAAAACTGAAAGAAAAAAAAAGAATGCTACAAAAATAAAAGAGGCCAAAGGTTTAAAAAAAAAAAGAAAAAAGAAAGAAAAAGAAGAGGGGCCGCTGCAGCCACCAGAAGAATCGGGGGACGACTGCTACAGTAAATAAACAGTCCCAGCCCCAGTTCTTTTAGTTTTTTAGGTAATAATAGGTAATGGTCGGTCGTTATTGTGTACTATTGAATTAATACCGATCATACGAATGCAAGTCTTTTGAAACTCATAAAATAATAAAAGGTCCCATTCAATAATGGGATAATATATTATAAGTAGATCAATGTTTAACTCTCTTTTTTTAATCACATGAAATTATTTTTTTCATTTCAGTATATTGATTTTTTTAAAATTACCAATCAAATATTTTTGTCAAATTTTCTATTAAACAATGATGTGTCCGTTACATCCAAAATACTAAATAAATTTTTTTTAATTGATTACATAGATTTTAATATTTTTTTGTTTGAATCAAATCTGTCAATTATATATTTTCATCATTTTTTTTGTTAACCGATGAAGTGTTCGTTACCTCCATAAAACCAACTTATAATTTTTTTCTTTTTTTTATTGGAGAAAACTTTCCTCTCAAATTATTTTACCATTGCAAAGTTTGACAAAGAATTAAAAAAAATATATTATTTTTATTTATAAAAACTTAAACTAAACTTAGTTAGGTTTAGATATGAAAATTAAAAAAAAAATACAAAGGTAAGATTTTTTAAAGAAAATTCATTACTTGTGAACATTTGGAAAAAAAGTTTCCTCCAACAAAAAGAGAACAAATATATAATCTGGTGTTTAAAAAGCAATAAAAACAAAAACGTCATCAATTGATGAAAAAATTGTTAAAATTATTTGATTGATAATTTTTTTCAAATAAGTATACTCAAATGAAAAAAATAAAATTTATATATTCAATTAAGAAAAAATTAAAATTAATGTACTCACTGTACAATTATTCCATTCAATAATATGAACTAGAGAATTTGTGCCGTATATATATTAGTTAAAAAAAGTTGCATTCCAACTTTGAACGCAGGCGCTTAGTCTTCTAGTCTCAAGTCTAGAAATATAAAATAGGTTTTCTTCATTCTTTTTTACGTACGAAATGTTCAGGTTCCCAACGTTACTTTATATTGAATAAATAATTGCGAGACAATGAATTATAACTTCTTCTGATTGGTTATCAGCTTAATTAAGGTGTTACACGAAAATATCTTTACATAATTATTAAAAAAATGTTTGAGAAATCAAAGTTTCTAGAAAACAGAAGTTGTCATTTAAAGCCAAATTGTAGATTAAGATGTATATGGGGCCTCCAATCTTTCTCAAAATCAGTTAATTACTCATGCAAACTTAGCACTCAAAGGATGGAATTTCGAACCGGCAATGTACGTTGATTTTAGACTTTTATGTTGGAAGTTTGACAGCTAAGATAAGAGCAGAAATTTTGACTTTTTTATTTTGTCTTTTATATATACCCTCGTATGCTTTTAATCTCTTGGAAGATTATTTACATAATTAAATCAAATATTTTGTCCATAAAGAAAATGCCCAAGTGAGTAATCTCTTGTATTTTAATTAGGATCAACACCACCAATAGCTAGTGGTTTAGAATCTAGTCTTTCTTGGTGTACTTAGTCATCCAAAGTAATTGCCACTAACTAACTAATATTATAATGAGGTATTTTTTGAGTATCGATTAAGTTTAACATTTTTTCAGCTAAACCGATGCGATAATTTGTCTAACATTTACTTGATTTTAAAAATCAAACTATTTAAATTCATTAATATTTTATATCTAATGTTACACAAAGAAGAAAAAAAGTTTTGATCGGATGAACAAGAGACATTTAATTTTTTTTTTATCATTCTATTTACATTTTTAGTGGTTAATATTATATTTTTATATATGCAATATGGAGAGATTGAAGTTGGAAGGATTGGAGTAGAAACTAACAAAAAGAAACGGCTAATTATAGAAGTGGCTAAGGCCAAAGAAACCCACCAAAACTTACTGCTGACCAATAGTATCACATAGTTTTTGCCAATCCAAATAGGGTTTGATATCAGTTTGGACAATTGTTGGAATCTGTGTAATCTTGTGCTTAATTCAGTCAAGGGGACGGATACATAGTCCATAGGGACTACACTCTTTCTTATTGTTTTTGTCAATAATTTTCTGATGAAATGTTCACCAAAAGTGATGGATCTGTTAAAATAAATTACGAAAACTATTTTGGTATGGGTTGAATTAAGATCATGATTTTCAATCTCTACCCAATTGAATTCACAAAGACAAAGGTCCTAAACATGATTGAATTGAAACGAAATGAAATCTACTAAATTCTAAGCTTTTCCCAAGTCCAAGCAACCTTAAACAGACAAAATCATCAAGAAGGCGCCAAGAACAACTGCCATTGCACACATATCAAGAAACCAGCCAAATTGGCCACGGGCTAGCTAGCCTGCCTTGCTCCTTGTTTGATCAGTCCAACTCCACATCAGATTCTCTCTATCTCACACACTCGCATTGAAACTCTCAATCGCTTGCCAAATCTAAATGATCATCGTTTCACTATAAATTTCATTCAAAATTTCTAGCCTTTTCAAGGATGAGTAACACAAGATTTTAAAGAAGTTTATTCATTTCAAGATTTAGTTATGGTTCTTCATCAATAAATCTCATTTGGGTTATTTCTTTTTTCTCCAAAATCCGTTCTTTTTGTGACATTAATCTTTATCATTGTGGATTCTTTTCATCTGGGGTTCTGAATTTGTAGGATTTTATTGCATTAATGTACATATTTTAGGTCTTTTTTTTTTTTTGTTGATGGCTTCTTCAATGTTTTTTATCATCTGCATTCTACATTCAACCATTGCAATAACATTAGGATCACTAATAATGTTCTATCTGAAAGAAATCTATGTCCTTGGTCATGGTATTGAAACAGCTCAAAAGCTTTCAGGATCAACCCCACATGACCAATTGTTGATCCAAATTTCCAATTCTTTTGCTGGTTTGCTTATGTTTGTACTTGGTTTTTTGGTGTTCATGGTGGCATTTGTAAAGGACAGAGAGTTTCAAAACTTTTTTGCTAAAGGGTGTGCTCTTCTCCATGTAGCAATGGCTCTTTGGAGGTTTTGCTTTGAAAGACGGGTTGAGGATTTGGCTTGGGATTGGCCGAAGCAGGCTGTTGGAGATTTTGTGTTGGCACTTTCATGGGCATCCTTTCTTGTGTATACTTGGAGAGAAAAATATGATTAGTATTAAAAAGAGCTGTGTTTCATTAATGTGGAAAAACATTGAAATTTTTTCAATGTCTGGTGGTGCCATTATTGAATATTGCAGTTGCAGTTGCAGATCACAGCTTTTTTTGGCATAAATGTGCACATTACTTCTTGCAATTAAGGAGAAGGTTGGAGGAAGTGGAGCACGCTTCTTCATTATAGGTTTAGTGCATGTTGACTGTGTGGCTATTATTATGTTACGAAAGAATGGATGGCCTATAGGGCTCTTTCCGATATCTTCACTCCCATCTTGAAATTTATGCCAACTCTACAAGAGATTTAATTTCTTGGTTCACAATTTTCCTTGGAGTTTAATCATTGATATATGGTGCTGGATCCTGTTTATTGAGAAAATTTGGCTACCTTTTTCTTTCCAACTTTATCTGAAATCTATATGCAAGAGTAATCAATTCCATTGTAATTTACAAGGAGACTAACTTTGTGTTTATATGTGAAGGATTACTGAAAGAATCACACAATTCATTAAAGCAACATTGTTAGTATAGTTTTACACAATGGATGCAATTGAATAAAAATTACGATTATGATTGAGGATTGTAGCTTATCATAATAGTAATAACTATTGTGACTGCTATATAACGCCGAATAATAATAATTGAGTGCTCGAAATTGATATATAACAATCGTTACTATTTAAATCTATGATTTAAATCCTATGATTGCTAGTACCTTTGATTCTTGCTTTCTCTCGTTTTTGCCCTCTCGCGGAGAAGAATCAATTTATTTATGATATGATGTGCACATTTGCATAACTATATACTACGGAGTCTCTTGCAGCCAACAACAATGTCATATGAGCTTCAAATGTTTCTGAGTTGTCGTGGTCCATCAACATATAATAGGCCATCTATATAACGTCACGTGGAGCATGAAATTGGAAGTGATTGCTCTGTTGCTCCAGCAAAAGCAATAAATTTTTAGGCAGATAGGGCATACGTTGCTTAATTTTCCTAGCATCCCAACTAGATGATTCGAGTCCATCCATCCATCAGTGGTCCCTTTTCTCGTATGGTTGAACATTTAGACCCAACAAGGGTTACCTTCCTTTCCCCAATCTTGAACATTATAAAATTAACATGCAGCAGAAGGGTACTGGCAAATAAAGGTGAATCCGATACTCACATGTTTCACCTAACTTTAGGTACTCAGGCACTGAGAATTTATTTGCCCAAAAAACATTTCTTGTCTTTAAAAAACGAAAAGCATGTGTCGTGCTCATGAGTTGGGGGCATGCATCTCTACTGAATTTCTTTCTTATGGAACTGGTTATGCTATTGTTGGAAGCTGAAGTTCTTATGTTTAAAGAAACCAAAATTGACGTTACCAACTTATAGAATTAGATAATTAAAATTATATTCCATCCAAAAACTTAAGTTTTATATTTTATAGTGGGTGACACTTTTACAACCTTGTATATTAATCATTTTTTGTTTAACTTTTCAGTATAAGACATGTATTCTAACACTGTTCTTTGCTTATTGCTCATCTTTTAGAATTTGTTAAATGGCTTGGGTTTCAAAATCTTTACTCAACCGTCGGGTTTCTTTTGAGATTTTGATACCATATAGAAATCGAATTCTATTTAAACGATTTAAATCTTATGGCAGGTGAGATGATCATTTCTCAACTTTATATATTAATTATTTTTTATTTAACTATTCAACACGAGATATATGTTATAATACAATTTTACTTTTCTAATTTTTTATTGTCATTCATTCCTTTGTTTTGTTGTCATTATTCTCATATTGACAAAGCTGCCAAGTAAAGAAGAGCAAAAGCAGGGAAGTTTAACTTGGCATCGAACTTTTTCAGATTCTGCTAGGTGTAAAGTAAGAGTGTGGCAACCTGAAGAAGAAATCTGCCATGGCAAGTGTCTACAAAAGAGCTAAATGAAGATTTACCCAAATGCCCAAATAAGACATTCTGGGTCCTAAAGCAACGCTTTGTTTACCCAAAACCGAAGCTTAAAAGCCCAAAAGCAGAAGTTGCCTGGAAAAAGACAACCCAAAACTGCTCAGTCTCGATTCTCTAGAACTAAGACCTGGGTTTCCTTGGACAGGATCGATCCAAGAAATAAAATACCATTACCCTTCACTCGCATCTGCAGCATGTGTACGCACTCTCCAAGCACGTGGCATTGACAAAACATTCTCTCTCTCTCTTCCTTTTTAATCAGAACACCCAAGAAGCCTTGGGTTATATAAATAGAACAGTTATTATTGTATTATTAATAATTAGAATTTGAATCTTATTTTTTTTAATAAAGTTAAATATACAATCGTTAAATAGTTAATGCTATTTTATTATTTTTTTTATAAAGAAGATAACAAAAATTTATGTTATTTTAATATAGTTTTTATGTACGAATATTAAATCTCTTTTTTTAACTAACACTTCTTAATATATATTATTCATATTTCGTTGATACATTTATAAATAATTTTTTTGACACCCACATGCGTATATGTATATATATACAATAAAATATAAATTTGAGATGAAATAAAATATAAATCTGAGATGATATAAAATTAATTTAATTTATCCTTATATCTTATGTTTGGTTTATAATCTATTTTTAAATATAACATCATATTCTAAGCTCTCTTTATGTTAAATATTCTCATTCACATTAAAGAAAATTCAAAATTTTTTATAATACTCGAGGAGTAACTACTTTATATGTACATTAGTTACTTTATGGATCTACTTTTGAAAAAAAAGATAAACACACACACACACACACACACATATATATATATATATAAAGAATCACATCCGGATCCATAGAAAATGATAAGAAGATTTCGACGTTAGCTCAATTTTTTTCTCTCTCGCATGTTTGCTTCTATCTCTTTATTGAGTAACTTACATTAATTATTCTTTGAGTATTATAAAATTTCTCGAGAAAATACCCTTACGTAAGAAACTTACACCTACTCTAATTTATTAAAAAAATATTTCCATAATTTTCACACAATATGGCAATTTTTTTTCAAATTTTATATTTTTAATAAATTTGGTGAAATTTTTTTTATTTTATCTCTCATGTTTATGTCTATCTCTCTCTTTTATGTAACTTACATTACTTACTTTTTCAGTATTATAAAACTTTTCGAGAAAATACCCTTATATACGAAACTTAAACCTATTTTAATTTATTAAAAAAATATTTCCATAATTTTCACACAATATCGCAATTTTTTTAAATTTTATATGTTTAATAAATTTGGTGGAATTTGAGTTTTTCAAGGGATTGTATTTTTGTTGATTTATATGAAAATATCTACTAGAATAATATATTAAAACATAATCTAAACTATAGAGATAAATCTATAACTAATTTCCTAAATAATAATATGAAAAATAAATTTAATATATCATTTATCACGTTAAAAGAAAAGCCTTCACCAACAAGTGGTTGGCTGAGTGATAACCAAGCTAGTCCCTAGCAAATTTTTTCTTAATATATAAGATTTGAATTTTAAAATTATTTTTATTAAAAATTATTAAATTTTATCTTTTTGTTTCAAGCATAATTAATTTTATTATACTTGAGAAAACTTATATATATAAAGCCTCCAAACTTCCAAGGTACTAATAGAAAAACATAAAGAAAGCAAAGGTCTTACACGGACCATAACTGAGAGTGTGCCTAGATAATGATACTGTCTGCCCCGTTCAGGCGGATAGGTGACCGAAAGATTCATCAAAGCAAAACCCAAAACTAATCAAAAAAGAGAGAGATAAGAGAGGAGAAGAGATCAAGAGGGAGAAAATTCAAGCAAAGACCAGAGAACGAATAAAAATCAAAGCTAGGTGTTTTAAAAGCTTGTTGTCAACATGGAGCAAGAAGAACAAGAAACCCCAGCAACACCAAGAACACCAAAGCCTTCATCAACAACATATAATTTGGTGCTTGCAATTATGAGCAAAAGGATAACATGGGTATGCCTTTTTGTTATAGTATATGCAATCTTGTTATCATCTTCATGGAATTGGCTCAAATCCATACTTTCTTGGTACAAACAACAAGAATTGCAAGGTAGCTCTGCATCTGGGTGGCCTGCTTTGTATGCGTCAGTGCTTCTTGGTGCAGTTTTTGGATTTCTTTCAATGGTTGCAGCTCTTGCTGTGGCTGTGCCAGCCACTTTGGTTATATGGATCACTGTTGTGGTTATGTTAACTTTCTTTGGGAAGCCAAGAAGGACTTTGGTCATTGAAGGAAGAAAGATCACGAAAGAGATTATTGGGTTTGTGTTCAAGATTGTGTTGAAAGAAGGGAATGCTGTTGCTGCTGTTTGTGCTATTTTGGGATACTTTGCTCTTGTCAGAAGGAATTGTGAAGTTGATTAAGTGAATTTTCCTAATGGGTTTTTGGATTGGGACATGGGGATGAGAAATTTGGTAAGAAATTGTAATTTTGATCTTCTTTGTTTTTGGGTTTAGAAGGAGGGATAAGAAGAAAAGGTAAAGCTAAGCTTAGATGTCATCTACTATTTTTTTTCCCTAATTCTATTGTATCTTATTTCTGATCAATCTGATTTGTAATCTACAAATCTCCCTCTTTGGGGTTAATTAGAGATTAAAAAAAAAAAAAGCTTTAAGGGGCTGTGTGTACATTACTGCTGTTCTTACCAGTTCTTTGATTTGGAGATGAACATATATTTTCATTGTAAATTAAATTTTTGTCATGCGATTTATTTTGTATGTTGGGATGCATTTCCAGAAATTGTTGTTACGGTTGAACATGGGACCTTCATAAAAGAGGAAAATAATCAGAAGAAAGGAAATTTCTGTAGGCTGTAGCTTTTGCTTTTAATGCAGCAGATCTCCAGTGTTCGTAGTCCTCAACCACTTCTGTGAGGTGAAAGGCTGGCAGACTAGAATTTACTCAATTGTGTCAGTGAAATTATTTGGACAGTCATTCACAGGAACTATAGAAAGATACTAATATACTATTTACGATAAAAAAAAAAATTGTAAAGTAAATTATAAATTAGTCCATTTTGTTTCGACAAGTGAATTAATTAAGCTTTCGATTTTAAAAATTAATTATTTAATAATTTTAATTAGTATATATTATGATTAATTTAATTTTTTTATATTTTTATTTTTTAAAATAAAAAATCAAAATAAATTGAAAAATAGCAAAAAGAATAAAAAAAAAGTTTTTGAAGCACAGACTAATTAATTCATTTCTTAAAAAGAGAGGGACTAATTTGAAATTTACTCTTAAATATAAATGGCTCCTCTGTAAAAATAAGGAGGAGAAAAAAAAACAATCATGAAAATTTTCAAATCCACTAAATGAAAAAATAGAAATTAAAAAAAATGAAATGACAAAAAAAAAAGCTAAAAGAAGAAATTTAAAAAGAGAATCAATTAAGGACAATCCGGAAATTTCCTAAATCCCTTAAATGGCAAAAAAAAAAAAAAAAAAAACTAAAAGGCAAAAATCAAGCAACTACTCATGTGCAGAAAGACAATCGAACGACTGTGAGAAGGGTACACCACTAATGGATGGATAGATTTAAAAAAAAAATTGTTCAAATAGCGCACTTAAAGTCAGAAGTAACAGTTAATTTGGGTCTAAAGCAACAGTAAAGAAACAGTGTTTAAATAGCAAACACTCAAGTTCTTTTAATTTTTTTCTCAATTGCCCATTACACTCACTGATAAAGTCAGTTGTGGTTCAATGAGGAATTTAGCTAGGTTTCTCTTATAATTTTTCTTCTGTTCTAGGTTTAAGTACTTAGATTTTTTATCCGCGTTATGCTTGTGAGTTCGATAAAATATATAAAATTATTTAAAAAAATCATTTCGGTTCCTAGTACTGTTTTATGGTGTAAAAAAAGCCATTGACGAGTTAAAGAAATAGCAAAATATGAGTGTATGAATAATGAAATGTGATAAATTAAAAGAATGAGATTTAAATAGCAAGAGTAATATAAAATGAAGTATATGTTGATTTTAAAATATAAAAAAATATATTATATAATTGTCCATTTTGTGTGAAAAAAATTGTAATTGATTTTTTTTAAATAAAATAATTCCAATTAAATAAAAAAGAATATAAATTGATGGAAAAAAGCAAATAAAAATTTGATTTTTTAAAATTTTAACACTCAATAAAATAAAAAAATATATAAATATATGGGAAAAAACGAAAAAAAAATCAAAGAAAAAAGAAGAAGAAAAGGCATGTGCAGTGCATGGTTAAGGGATTAAAATGTTTATTTTAAATTATTAGGGATTAAAATGAAATGAAATAACTTAAAAAAAAAAAACTAATAAACAATCAGCACTGTTCATTGCTGTTCCTTCTACTGTTAATTTCATCTTCTCACTTTAATATATTAGTAATTTCTACATAATGGATGCTAAAAATGGTAAAATCAAGAAAGTGGCATAGCCCTAACTTTGCCAGACCCGAGAAGTGAGGCCATGTTCCTACTTTAATCCATGTTCTGTCCATTGTCTGCCACAAGTCTGACTTAGCTTTTTTTTCCCCCCTTTTTGGGACTGTAATGGGTACTTCATGGATATGAAAATCAGATGGGAATGTACATGGAAGATTAAGGCAGAATTGACCAGCCGGTTACAGGGACAACTTGTAGTAGAAAATCAAAGACTTCTTTACTTTTAAATGCAAGTTCTTCTTGAACTGTCGTACAAATTGTCAAAATCATATGTATATATTTGGCTTATTAATTCTCATGTCTTGCTAGAAGCTATGTCATAAGATGGAGATTGGATGGAAATGACAATGAGCCTCCTTTAAGAATTTTCCTATTAAAGCATAGTTTCCAGTCCCAAATGGCTGCTTGAGGAAGCCATTAGAAAATACCTAGGAAATTCCATGTTCCACAGGCAGTATTCCTTCTCGGTTTTGACAAAGTCCACTGGCTAGGGTTTTGTCAGAATTCAAATGGGCTTTGCAAGAAATGGTTGGAGGCTGCTTTTGATGCCCCAACCCGAATCAGTTTTTTTCCACACAATAACCTGAATAATTAAATAATATTGTTTTTTTTTTCATAGATGCATTTTTTAAAATTTTGAATTTTCATATTTTATTATAATTAATAATTTAATATATCAGCATAATCTTTAGGCTAAAAGAGTGAAACATCTCCTGAACTTTAGTCTATATGAAAGTCAATCTCCTGATTTTTAATTTGTGTTTGAACTTTTTTGTTTTTTTTTAAAAAAAATTAGTACATCTTTCTGTTTTCTTTCATTTATACAAAAAGAAAATTATTATATAAATAGCTTTATAATAGAAATCATTCAGTGAGATATATTTGGAGCTTTTTTAAAAATTTTGAGATCATTTTGGATTATTTTTATTTTTTCGAATTTTTTATATTTTAAATATTTAAAAAATAAAAAAATATAATTCCCGAGCTTAAAAAATTTTGGAATTTTTTTAGAAAATGAATTGAATTTTTTTCAAGGCATGTGCAAAATTTCATATCAAAGTACAAAGAATTGAATATTTTAGAGAAAATGAGTAATAACTGAAAATTATCAAATGAATTAAATTTTTTAAAAAAGGTTTATAGATGTTAAAATACCAATTAAAAATTTGAAAATTGATTTTTAAATGAAGGAGGTTTGGAACTTTTAACCTAATACTTATACTCCTAGTGACCTAATCCAAAGCTCCATGTTTCCTTGGAAAGCCATACTCATGATGAACTTCAAATGTTAGGCCCAAAAAACTTCACAAAGCATTAGTTTTTGCAGGACAATCAGGCTCTCACGAGTTCACAAGTCATGTGTCCACAGTCTACCAACTGCAACGTGCTGCGTGGCTACAGCAGAATTGAAAGGGGTCTGATTTTTTTATTATTTTTTTAACTCATATATCTAACACTTTTAATAGAATTAATATGTCAGAATGTGAATGGGTGACGTCTTATCATAAAAAAATCACTACTAGTACGCTACAAACTCTTTGATAATGAAGGGTCAGATAGGTAGGCATGTGGTAGGATCAAATAGAACCTTGCTAGAGTGACAATTATTTCACGGATTGTAACTTCTATAGCCTTTGCTTTGAAGTTTTGCAGGTGCCATACAGAACCTTGAACCCAAAACCATTAACCCCTTCTTCCCAATTCTTTTATTGCATTAAATGGCTTGCCCTAAACATGTAGGTGTATGCCCTTTCTCTGTGGCTTAACTTTGTTGGCGGTGATGGTCTGATATCGTGTAAGCTATTGGCTGAGACTGCTAGCAAACTACAAAGATTAGAGGAGGGACCGAAATGAAGTAGCCGATCGGCGTTCCTACTCTAATGGAGTATGGACCAACCCCCTCGTGTCTGCCACACAGTTACTGCCAACGAATGAAAGCAATCTATTAATAGACATGATGAACTGAAACAATAAAGTATTACTTTTAGAAATGAAATATAATTTTAAATCCCAGGGAGGCTAATAGATCAAATTTCTCTTAAATTTTAGTTTATTTGAAAACTTCTAATTTTTTATTTGATCTTTCTCGATTTATTATATATATTTAATCTATTTTTTAAATAACAGTCAATAAATAACTTCACAATGAAAATCATTTACTATTTAGGCTTCCCACAAAATCCAAAATCATTCCGGATTATTTTTTATATTTCCTAATTTTTAATATTTTAATGTTCAGAAAATAAATAAATACTTTTTGATCTTGAAAATTTATGGGATTTTTTAAAAAATAGATTGAAATTTTTCCAACGTGAGTGCCAAGCGTTAACTCAAAATAAAAATAATTGAATTTTTTATAAGAAAAAGTGATAGTTGAAAATTATGAGATGAACTTAAATCTCAAAACAAATAAAATTCAGAAGAAATCAAACCCAAACTAGAAATTTAAAAACTGATTTTTAAATAAATTAAAATTTAGGGCTAGTTTGCCCATTTAGCCTCCAATGCGAGGCCCTGGGGGAGGCTATGGGCTTGCGCTCTCATGCTTTAATTAGCCCAACTATAATTGGATGGTCCAGTTAAAGCTAAATTTGATGTGCATTTGCACTCTGCATGGTCCAAGAAAAGTTGGAAAATGATTGGTCAAAGGAAAAGAAAACATTTTCGCGAGGGAAAAAAAAAAAAAACTAATGGAAGCATAGAAAATGATTTTCCAAAATAAATTATTCATACAAAAACCTTCATATAAACTGTTATAGTGTGTGTTTGTATGCACGTTTATGTAGAAAAATGTTATTGATAAAATTAAATTATCCATCTTTGTTATCATAGGTAATTATCAACCAATTATTTAAATAAATCATATAATAACTAAACCAGGGTCTTTACCATCTAACTAAAATGGAAGAATAACGAAAAAGGGAGCATCGTAAG